CTTATTCACTATTTGATATTTCAAATGACACACATGAATGAGGCGAAAGTTATTTTATTTCTTTTTACCATAATGTTTGTCTCACTCTATAGACAAAAGTGAAAAAATATATTATTTTTGATTAAGGTCACTTATTGGAGGAAATACATCACATTACAAAACTTGCTATTTCTATCGTTATTCTTGATTTCAAGATATTTTTTATCTGCCTGCTTAAGAGGGGGGAGGCCTAGGTTAAGCATTGGATCTTATTGGATAGATGGATAATTTAATAATTTACCTATAATGTAGCTAAAATAAAATAAGGTAAGATAATAAAGGTGAATTAATATTAAATACATCACACATCAAATAACACACAATTGATTTATTACAAATTATTATAAATCTGTGCAATACATACATAATACGACCAAAGAGTATATAACACTATATAGTACATTTAGTGATTTATATATATTTTTGACTATATTTTTAATATGACTTAATTATAACGCCATTTTTTTGTCTAATAAATCGGGAAGTAGGTACATTGTAAGATGTCATTATCTTTTTTGTTGGTTTTGTAAAAAGTGGAAGTTATTCACTATTTGATATTACAATGACATGCATATATGAGGCGAAAGTCATTTTGCATGTTTATTCCCTTTTACTAGACTTGCTTCAAATAGTATATGCGGCCACAAACCGAATATCGAATGTTTGGCAGGCTGCCTGGCCGAATAGCCGAATATTGGGCAAAATTATTCGGACAGGAAGTGTTTATTCAGAGCGTCTTTCATCTGAAGCTGGGTTTGTCTAAGAAAAGGAGTAAGTTCTTGAAACCACAGAAGAAATAGTCTTTCTGCACCAAATCTTACACTTCTAAAATTTAATTACGATAATTCATGTTCATAGATATTTATTTGATATTATAATTAACGTTATTATAAAAAAAATCATCAATATTTTCATTTTATCAATTAAATGACTACAAAAAAATTACCCAAGTGTTCGATATTCGGCCGAAAATTGTCTAGTAGATATTCGGTATTCGACCGAATAGGTTAAAAGTAGCCGAATATTCGTTGCAAGTCAATTTTTTTACAAAAGCGTTACTATATTTAGACTAATAGACAAAATGATATACAGCGTAAACTCCATGTAACGTTACCCCATTTAACGACAAACTCTCTAATGCATCGAAATCGCTCGGCTTGTTTGGTTTTGCTTGTCTTCCATGCAATGATACACTCTATATAATATTACACTCACAATAACGACAACAATTAAACAAAAAGAAAAATACTTTTTAAGTTGCAAAAATTAGTAAAACTGCACAGTTGTTTACATTCTTATGTCGCTTTATTATCCTAGCCCGTAATAAACTCACTGTTGGCTTCGTACATACCATACTAAGAAATTCGTTGTTTTGTTTACAAATTGGAACTGCTTGCACATGTAGACTGTTGTTAGTAGGAGTCATGGATTATCTATACGTTATCATATTCATAGTTGCTCACAGACTCAAACTGTTTTGTTTTCAAACATATTTTTTTCGTTCCATTTAACGACAACTGTCTATAACGTCAAAATATGCACAGTCTTTTGAGTGTCGTTATATAGACTTTACACTGTATTCAATAGAAAAGTGCAATAAGTGTTAAATATTTAAATGTTTGTGCATGTTGCGTACAACTCGGTTGAGTTAACACTTTCACTGTCCGGTTTTCAGACACAATAGTAAGACAATGGTAATGACATACATGTAATGCACGGGACAGCGAAAGGGTTAAGTTTGTACCTCACTGTAGTGCGAGACCCCTCCGTTTTCCGCTCTAAACCCCGCGTTCATAATATAGTTGCGTCAGTACGGTTCCAGTTTGCATCTTTGCTATCGATGCGCACGTCTTAATTTTCGTCTCCTCTTTGTTATTGTATTATTTTTGTTTTTACGTCAACCACACCAAGTGCAAACATAGCTCAACCTTGTTGTATTTATAATTGCTGTATATTTATTCTAGATGTAAGATGATCATTTTTAAGTACATCATTTTGAGCGTGCTTTTCACTGCAATTAGACATTGTAAATTTATTATAGCTTTATAAGTCAACAGGTGTGATACTTTCATTAAGGATTTAAAATAACTATATTAACATGTGTATGAATTTAATCTAAGGTTAATATTTCCAATATGGACCATCGATTTCAAAGCCCATATTTTTTTTTGTAGATAGTACTCACTAAAAGAAAGCGTTTTGCAAAGTTTTAGGTTGCGGAAACTTACGGTTCATGAGATATATTTTTTTAAACTTTTCATACAAATTGGTAAATAACACGCAATTACAAAATAAATTTGACAAATGATTGATGTCAAACGTCAATTAGTGTAGGGTTCCGAATATTTTGAAAGTATCGATACGTACTCGATACCAAGTATCGTATCAAAAGTATCAATACTACTTGGTATAGAGTACATTTCGTTAATTTTGGAGACTAAGGGGGTAGAAGCCGGGAAGTTGTGCTCCGGCGCTCCGTGGCAGCTCCGGCGCTGCGGGATGAGCAGTGCCTCCGCCCTAGCGTAGGGAAGCACAGGCACCGAGATCGCCGAAGGCGACCAAAAAGCCGAAGCTGCGAAGGCGAGCTCTCCCTCCGCGCCTCCGGGCTCTTATATACACTCTAGGGGTAGGGCAGACAAGACCACGTGGATAGTGGGGTGCTCTGATTCGGTTTTGGGTATTTTTTGGATATTAAATAAGTAAGTCAATAAGTAAGTAAACACTTTATTGTAGTAAGAATTAGATAATACAGAAAGTTGCAAACAATAAAATAAAAGTACAAAAGCTGTACTAATTAAGAAATACAAACAAGTTGCAAGCAATGAAATACAAGTACTAAGGTGGAACTTAAATAGAGTAAACTTTATTCTACTTTATATACATATATAATTGCACTTATCAGCTCTTCCTATGCATCTAATTGGTTTGTCATAATTTTTCGTATCCAAAATTAACGAAATGTACTCGATACCAAGTAGTATTGATACTTTTGATACGATACTTGGTATCGAGTAGGTATCGATACTTTCAAAATATTCGGAACCCTACACTAACTGACGTTTGACATCAATCATTTGTCAAATTTATTTTGTAATTGCGTGTTATTTACCAATTTGTATGAAAAGTTTAAAAAAATATATCTCATGAATCGTAAGTTTCCGCAACCTAAAACTTTGCAAAACGCTTTCTTTTAGTGAGTACTATCTACAAAAAAAATATGGGCTTTGAAATCGATGGTCCATATTGGAAATATTAGCCTAAATACCAAAAAAGGGAATTTTCTTCGTAAAAATGCATTATAAATTCAATTTTAAGAATATTTTAATCTGTACCTCAAATCTCCAAAACGCTATCCGCCATATTAGATTCCGTCGTAGTCACTGATAAAGTAAACAAGCTAATGTGCTGTGTGTTACTTCAAAAAATTTCAAGTTATCATCACGATTCTTGACTTTCATTCCGTATTTTATGGATATGACATCAAGATGGATCTGTAAAAACAGAGAGTACTAATCTACTATAAATACATTGATGGTGGCAATTTTTTTTTGTTTACGATCCCGTTTTTTATTTTGCCGGATCGAGAAATGTTAAAACATCAATGTAAATACCTATTGATAACTAGTTTATACAATAATACAATAACTGGGTTGAGTGTCTTTTGTTAATATCTAGTTATGTTTTTCTATGATTTACAATCATTTGCAATCATTTACAATCATTTGCAATCATTAGTTATATCTAAAATGACTGAATCTTTCACAAAATTTGAATTGCAATACCTATCACCTCATGATGTTTTGTTGTGTATCCGGCTTAAAGATCTTTATTTCTCAATAAGACAATAGTTACTTACATGAGAACAATAACTATAATTTTTAGTGCGGGTATAACCCTTTATAAGGCAGAGGGAACTAGGACAGTTACAAATTTAAACTAAACGGATTTTGTAAGCCAATATGTTATGAATGCCTTATGTATTTTTTTTTTCGTGAAAACCGAAGATTGAAAATTTTGGAAAATTTGGTGGCAATATAGTTGCCGCTGCCTGTAAAAGACTATCAAAAATAAAATAAGGTTTATTCTTAATGCAACTTTTTATTTCTGTTCATGGTAAATATCAAAACAAGGTACCACACAGAGTGGAACCTTGCATCTGGAACATTGAATTTTTGACCTTTTATTGTTTGTCTTTGTGCTACATACACGACATCGCCGATAAGTTGGCAAACGTTCATGTTTATGTGTTCCAACACTGGCAAAACGAAGGTCATCGATTACAGAGCCGGTTTTTTGGTAATTATCTGACATCTTGGGCTTCTTATTATGATACATTGGTTGGGTATCCAAGCTCTTTCTCCTTGATGAAAAATTATTTATAAGACCACGTGCCAAAGATAATCTAAACGCTAATTGTGGCATAATACTGTGGACGCGGCTGTTTGAACTGTAGAGAAGGTACGAGTTTGTTATTGCTAGGTCTATGCAAAAATAAAAAATGCGAAGCCACCATTTCTTGCTTCTTCTGCCGACTTCATAGGTACTCCGCTTCTGATCGAAACGATCCACACCGCCCATACGTTTTGTATATTCAAGTACCGCTGTTGGACAAGGAACTTTTTTTTGTACCGTCTTTCTGCTTTCTTTCACATTTAGTTTGGCAAATTTTGGGGTGAAATGCGGTGGTCAAAACTGTAACTATTTTTGTATCCTGCCACATGATAAAGGAAACATTATTTTTAGTACGCCATTTATATTCACCTCTCTCTAAATGTATTTTTTTTTTGTCTTGATACATTCTTTTTCTTAGCGGTTTTTAGTATTAGTGGCAAATCAGATCTCCCAGAATTGACGGTTGCGGTGGCATATATTCCGTTTTCAAACAAATATTGCAAGAGCTCATAAGATGCAAAGAAATTGTCAAAAGCTACATGTCCTCGGAAGCCTTGATCAATGAGTTTTTATGTGAGAGATTTCACTACTTTGATTCCTAGACCGACTTCAGGAGCTTGGTCTTCACGTTTACCAGTGTAAATGCTAAATTCGTAAACATAACCAGTTTTGCTATCAGCTCTTACCCAAACTTTGTATCCTCTCTTGATGGGTTTGAAGGGCATGTACTGTTTTAGTGTTGAACGTCCCTTGAATCGAATCATCGATTCATCTATTGATTGTGACGATGTTGTTTTCGCTTCTCGCTGACATGCAATATTCAGCAAATCCAGTATTGGTCTTACTTTGAATAATTTATCAAAATTTGTTGCAGCTCTTTGAGGCGTTTGCTCATTATTATTCAAATGCAGGTTTTCGAGGATTTTTTTAAATCTTTTGATTGGCATTATGGATGCGATTTCATCTACGCGGAAAAATAGATCGCTAGCCCAATATAAATCAACAGTCGGTAATGGATGGAGCCCCATTAGAATTATTATGCCTATGAAAGCTAATTTCATCACAACAAACAGGTGTCCAGTTACGACTTTGATTTTGTTCTGCATAGGAGATTGGTTTGTGTTACAATATGTGTAAAAATATCGTCATCGAAGAAACGTGTGAAATATGTTGTAGGCCTTGTCTGGGATGAAAGGAATTGAGTTCCTTGTAAACGAACACGGTCAAAATCATCCATGTTTGGTTGTGGAGACCAGATAACTTTTTTCCACTGATCTTCTGCACCATTCGAATCATCAGTTTCAGAAAATGTATCAACAGCTGTAGGAAGTTGGCTGAATGGTGGTTCAGGAGGAGAGTCAAGTAAACGGTTACGGCGTCTGTCTAAATGAAGACCAGATGTTGAGGAATGAATTGATGTCTCACGTTCGTCGTCCGAGTCGTGTGTCACCTGAGTAGACTCATTGTTGCGGCTGTCTAAATGTAGACCAGATGTTGACGGCTGATTAAATGATTCTTCTAAATTAGAGTCGTTTTTCTCCTGGGTAGAATCGGTTTCGTTCGCACCACTAAGAATATCATATAGCGTCATACCTTCATACGTATCTAAATTATCCGGTTCTTGTTCGTATTCGTCTTCCGAAATGTCGGGGTCGTAAGGTAAGCCAAATAACTCGTCCAGTGCATTTTTTATGTCGTCATCAGACAATATTTTCGGCATTTTCACCTGCAGTAAATACTGTAATATTATTATCTACACGGGCAGTGGCAGATATATTGCCACCAGTTAAATACAAAATTTTATCAAAATAATAAACGTAATTTTACAAAATACTACTCGATCGTACAAGTGACATACGTAATTATTGAAATAAATGCAAACTCTTACCAGTTTCCCAAAAGATTTTAAAGATTGAGCTAGATTTGTTACACGTTACACAAAATCACCGGTTTTTACCCTTCAAAGTTAAAAGTTGAAAAGTGTCAATTGAATTTGACAATTCCCACACATCAAAAAATATACGTTGACAGGACATCTCAAGCTTGCCAGTAAAAAAACAATAAATACCAGAAAGATAAAAAGTTGCCCGAAAAAAAATTCTAAAATTGGTGGCAATATAGTGGCCACTGCCTTAAAAAGGGATAAATAACTTTGTTGGATGTCGCTTTTAAGAAGCGAATATCTTTGTTGTTTAATAATGTTTTTTATTTTTATTTAATAATGATTAAGGTTAGGTATTTAGCTGTCGTGAATATAGGTAGGCAAGTAACTTCTGTTTGAAAACATTCAAAGATTTCGCCTCCTTTACAAATTTAGGTAGTTTGTTGTATTACTGTGCTCCTTTATACGTTATATTATTTTTACCATAGTTTGTTCTTATAGGCGGCAATACAAGGTGACTAGCTCGGCGTGTTATGTATTTGTTTGTTTGCTTCTTTGTTAAAAACTTGAGTTGTGTGTGGATTAATTTATGTTTTATTTTATATATTAGTATGCATGTGCTATATGTATAAAGTTGAGTAACGTTAAACAGTTTAGTTTCCTTATATATTGTATTAGTTGGTGTTAAAAAGTCATAGTTATACAAAATTTTTATGATACGGTTTTGTAGCACTTGGAGAGGTTTAAGATTGGTTTTGGCTGCATTACCCCATACCTCTACAAGGTAAAGTAAGTGAGGTTTTACTAGAGAGTTATATATTAGGATTCGGGCTTTTTTCGGAATACATCGACATGAAGGCGGCCAACGAGAGACGAAAGTTTGTTTTTAATATGCGTGAGATGTGCATTCCAAGTCAAATTACTGTCGAGAATCAGTCCAAGGTATTTTTCTTGATTTTTTATTTGTAACGTTCTCCGTTTATAGTCAAAGTAAGGTGGTTTTGGTTAGGGAGTTTCTTGTTCTTGGCGCTGAAAATTATATATGAGGTCTTGGTTACATTAATAGTTAGGAGATTATACTGAAACCATTGATGGAGTATGTTTAAGTCTTCTTGAGCTAGTGTTATGATAGGAGATATATTGTTTCCAAAGTAGAATAAACACGTATAATCTGCGTAAAGGGATATTTGACCTTGTAAACCTGCTTGGTTTATGTTGTTGATGTACACTAGGAATAGCAATGGACCGAGGATAGAACCCAGAGGCACGCCACACGTTAAGAGTTTGGGTTTACTTTGAATGGATCCAATTTTCACTACTGTAACGGTTGCTCAAATATGATGCCATCATTTTGTATACTTTTTCAGTGACGCCAATATTTTGTAGTTTTTTTTAAGAGCAAATTATGGCTAACTGTGTCGAAAGCCTTTTTTTAGGTCCACAAATATTCCCAGTGCATACTTGTTTTTGATCAATTTTTGTTTTTATTGTAGTTATCAGGTCAATTGTTGCTCCCAGGGTACTAGATTTTGATCGGAAACCATACTGTTTGTCATACATAAAGTTGATTTCAGTTAAATAGTCGTCTAATCTCTTGTATATAATTTTCTCTAAAATTTTGGATAGTGTAGGTAGAACTGATATTGGACGGTAATTTTCCGGACTAGATTTCGTACCAGACTTATAAATTGGAGTGATTTTGCCTATTTTGAGGTTGTCCGGAAAAATCCTTCAGTTAACAATCGATTTAGGCAATTAGTTATATTTTGGACTACTAAACTTTTGATACATTTGATAGCCTTGATACTAACTTCGTCTAGACCTACACTAGTATTGGGGTCCAGATCATCAATTATTTTTGTTATTTCATTGACGGTGCATGGATCGAATTGAGACAGTGTACGGTGCGACATGCCAGGATCAAGGCTCGGTACTGTGTGTGTGGTGTTGTTATGGAACTCACGAGGTATTTTATTTGCCAGTTGTGTTCCTATGTTAGCAAAAAAATTATTGAATTTTTCACATATTTCTAGGGCATCCGAAATTATTATACCATTTTCGGCTTTTAGGTTTGGTGGAGCACAGTGATTAACATTTTTATTATTTGACAGTGTTTTTATAAGATTCCACATTTTTTAGGTTTATTTCTACATTTTGTGAATTCATCGTAAAAGTAATTTTCTTTTGTGTTCTTGATTTTTTGTGCCAGAGAATCTCTTTTAGTTTTGAACTCTTTTTCTAACTGTTCATTTTTTGGATCACGTTTTAGTTTACTCCATAGCACATTTCTCTCATTAATTTCTGCTATTAAATGCCTGTTAATCCACTCTTTTTGGGGTTTAGTATTTTAATTTTTTTTTGTTTTGGTTTCACTAATGAGCTTTTTAATGTATTCATCAAATTCCTTATAATCGTGTGTATTAATTTTAAAAGTTGATGTTTTAACCATCTCGTATAATTTCTTGAAGTCTGTAGACTCATATTGTATTCTTTGTTTCTTTGGGGTGATTACTTTTTTCAATTCCACATAAATATTTTTATGATCTGATAATGATGAGTCAATTATGGCCATATGAAAACTGTTTTCGTTTAAATTAGTAGAAACGTGATCTATTATTGTACACGTTGTTGTAGTTTCCCGAGTGTTATATTTTGTATCTATTTTGTTAATCAAGTTGTATCCGGATTCAGTTAGTGTTGTTTTGTAACGGCGCGCTGAATTGTCAGAGCTTAATAAGTCAATATTTGTATCACCAAAAATAATGGCTCGTTTCTTATGTAGAAGTTGTTATTCATAGTTGAATAAAAAATTGTTGATGTTTGTATGTCCAGGCTTGTAGACTACTCCAACATTGAGGGCGTATTTGTGAAGGCGAATACTCAAGTAATTTGTGATTTCCATCAATATATATTGCAGTGACAAGATCCTGTTCCAGATTATTGTGTACGTAGATAGAAACACCACCACCGATGACATTAGGTCGTAAATTATAGTAATGAGTATAATTTTGAAGATGAAATTGTTTAGCTTGGTCGTCTGATCTGATCCATGTTTCGGCAAGTAAAACAACATGAACAGTTTTTTTTTAAAGAGTGGATGATACAATTAAGTTCGACAAATTTACCTGGCTTGCATATACTTCTCACATTTGCATAGAAGAAGTTAAGGCTTGATTTGGTAGGAGTAATATTCTGGTAATTATCTGAAATTTGATGGGTGATAAGTTTTTGTTTAATCATGTTTGAGGTCGTAGGAGAATTAATATTTTGAGCTATTAGTTTTTTTGTGTTCTTGGTAGAAATTATTTTCGGAAACCCTTTTATGTATTTAATAGTAATATCCTGTTCTCCATTGGCTATTCTTTGGGATAACTCAATCTTCAGATCTTTTATATATTTCTGTTGTGCAGGTGTTTGGTCAGAGAAAATTTTTATGCCACTCTGGATTTTGTTCTTGTTGCGTAGTAGAAGTTTGGCCGTTAGCGGGGATTCAAAGCATACTTTAATATTTCAATTTTTTCCAGGTGTAAACTTCCCGAGTCTAAAGAGTCTACTAGGCTTAGAACAGTCCTCCACAATTGTATTAATAATTTTTGTTACTTCGCTAGCATCGTAAGAACGCCCTTCCTCACTGTTAGTCACATTTCCCTCTTGTAAACCCACTATGATGATATTTCTTTCTCTGGATGTACGATCTTGTATTTCTTGCATTATATTTTCCCCAAGGCCAGATGAGTGTAAGTTTATGGCAGTCTTACTTTTAATTAACATGATTTCAGACTCATTAGCATTAGTTTTGTTATTTATCTGTTTAATTTCTGTCATCAATGTCTGGATTTTATTATCTGTATAGTTTGTTTTTATTACTAGATCTGACAGCTGGGTCTTCATTAATTTTTGCTCGTTGTTCAGGTTTACAGCAGCTTCTGTAATATCATTTAACTGGGTTCTCATATCTACTATATTTTCACGCATGAGGGTCATTGTTGTTTCTTGCGTGTCTGTGAATTTTTGTAGCATTGTTGTAAGGTCTTTACGTAACTCTTGAATTTCAGACGAACAATTGCAATTGCAAATACTATGTTCTGGCTGTTTGCGTTTTCTATGAGTAATTTGTTGTTTCGTAATTTGTTGAATCGTAAACTCGTTATTAGGTGACGATAAATTAGTGTACGAGTTACTTTTTTCCAGGTGGTGAGCGTCTGACATTCATGACTTGTACCATACACCAAGAACGACGTCATAACAAATCGCTAGTGCAATGATGTCTTTATATTAGTGCTCGTATCTTCCCGGTATCGAGACCGAAATGAAAAATATAATATTGCCTTTGTTACCCGAGGTGGTGCGGGGCGCCTTTGTGGTTCTTGACCCGTATCGTTTTTTATTTTGCCGGATTGAGAAATGTTAAAACATCAATGTAAATACCTATTGACAACTAGTTTATACAATAATACAATAACTGGGTTGAGTGTCTTTTGTTAATACCTAGTTATGTTTTTCTATGATTTACAATCATTTGCAATCATTTACAATCATTTGCAATCATTAGTTATATCTAAAATGACTGACTCTTTCACAAAATTTGAATTGCAATACCTATCACCTCATGATGTTTTGTTGTGTATAAAAGATAGTTAATGTAATTTTTGACATTTTGCTGTACCGACGTACGACGGCACCGCCGTCATGGCGTCATATACAATTAATTGGCTCTTGGGCACAACAACTTATGATAAAATTAATAAATAATTATAAGGCAAAGAATTTACATAATATTTATTACTTAATTAATTGAAATAACAATTGTTTACATGTAGCATGCATAAACTTCATAATATTTGAATAAGTGATTTTCACAAAAGTATAGCCTATTTTTTGCAGACAATGTTTTCGGGGCTCTTCTTGCCATTTGCAGGCACTTGAATCAAAAACTTCCCTGCCTTCGCTCCCTGTTTCCCTGCTCGTATTTTTGCACTCAGGCACAACACAACAATGATAAAGATGATAAAACATCGTTAGTCATCCAAATATATCTAAGTTGCGCGTGTGTGCAACTTAGATACTTACATATAGACACATACACTCACACACACGCGCACGCACATGCATTCACACGAACACACATGAACGCACATACACCCATACGCGCACACACAAACTCGCATAAAAACACACACACACATACACACACACACACACACACACACAAACACACACACACACACACACACACACACACACACACACACACATACAATCACACACACACTCGAGTGACAAATTAATTTGTAATTAAGTACTATCCATCATCTTCTAATTGATCTATGACAAATGAATAAAATAACACAAATTCACTCACATGATAACAAAAACTCGAACAAACGTTTTTCCACAATAATCAAGAACCACAAAGGCGCCCCGCACCACCTCGGGTAACAAAGGCAATATTATATTTTTCATCTCGGTCTCGATACCGGGAAGATACGAGCACTAATATAAAGACATCATTGCACTAGCGATTTGTTGTGACGTCGTTCTTGGTGTATGGTACAAGTCATGAATGTCAGACGCTCACCACCTGGAAAAAGTAACTCGTACACTAATTTATCGTCACCTAATAACGAGTTTACGATTCAACAAATTACGAAACAACAAATTACTCATAGAAAACGCAAACAGCCAGAACATAGTATTTGCAATTGCAATTGTTCGTCTGAAATTCAAGAGTTACGTAAAGACCTTACAACAATGCTACAAAAATTCACAGACACGCAAGAAACAACAATGACCCTCATGCGTGAAAATATAGTAGATATGAGAACCCAGTTAAATGATATTAAAGAAGCTGCTGTAAACCTGAACAACGAGCAAAAATTAATGAAGACCCAGCTGTCAGATCTAGTAATAAAAACAAACTATACAGATAATAAAATCCAGACATTGATGACAGAAATTAAACAGATAAATAACAAAACTAATGCTAATGAGTCTGAAATCATGTTAATTAAAAGTAAGACTGCCATAAACTTACACTCATCTGGCCTTGGGGAAAATATAATGCAAGAAATACAAGATCGTACATCCAGAGAAAGAAATATCATCATAGTGGGTTTACAAGAGGGAAATGTGACTAACAGTGAGGAAGGGCGTTCTTACGATGCTAGCGAAGTAACAAAAATTATTAATACAATTGTGGAGGACTGTCCTAAGCCTAGTAGACTCTTTAGACTCGGGAAGTTTACACCTGGAAAAAATTGAAATATTAAAGTATGCTTTGAATCCCCGCTAACGGCCAAACTTCTACTACGCAACAAGAACAAAATCCAGAGTGGCATAAAAATTTTCTCTGACCAAACACCTGCACAACAGAAATATATAAAAGATCTGAAGATTGAGTTATCCCAAAGAATAGCCAATGGGGAACAGGATATTACTATTAAATACATAAAAGGGTTTCCGAAAATAATTTCTACCAAGAACACAAAAAACTAATAGCTCAAAATATTAATTCTCCTACGACCTCAAACATGATTAAACAAAAACTTATCACCCATCATATTTCAGACAATTACCAGAATATTACTCCTACCAAATCAAGCCTTAACTTCTTCTATGCAAATGTGAGAAGTATATGCAAGCCAGGTAAATTTGACGAACTTAATTGTATCATCCACTCTTTAAAAAAAACTGTTCATGTTGTTTTACTTGCCGAAACATGGATCAGATCAGACGAGCAAGCTAAACAATTTCATCTTCAAAATTATACTCATTACTATAATTTACGACCTAATGTCATCGGTGGTGGTGTTTCTATCTACGTACACAATAATCTGGAACAGGATCTTGTCACTGCAATATATATTGATGGAAATCACACTCAATGTACACTTAGATTGCAAATAAACGATTTGATTTGATTTGATTTGAAATCACTACTTGAGTATTCGCCTTCACAAATACGCCCTCAATGTTGGAGTAATCTACAAGCCTAGACATACAAACATCAACAATTTTTTATTCAACTATGAAGAACAACTTCTACATAAGAAACGAACCATTATTTTTGGTGATACAAATATTGACTTATTAAGCTCTGACAATTCAGCCCGCCGCTACAAAACAAAACTAACTGAATCCGGATACAAGTTGATTAACAAAATAGATCCAAAATATAACACTCGGGAAACCACAACAACGTGTACAATAATAGATCACGTTTCTACTAATTTAAACGAAAACAGTTTTCATATGGCCATAATTGACTCATCATTATCAGATCATAAAAATATTTATGTGGAATTGAAAAAAGTAATCACCCCAAAGAAACAAAGAATACAATATGAGTCTACAGACTTCAAGAAATTATACGAGATGGTTAAAACATCAACTTTTAAAATTAATACACACGATTATAAGGAATTTGATAAATACATTAAAAAGCTCATTAGTGAAACCAAAACAAAAAAAATTAAAATATTAAATCAACCCCAAAAAGAGTGGATTAACAGGCATTTAATAGCAGCAATTAATGAGAGAAATGTGCTATGGAGTAAACTAAAACGTGATCCAAAAAATGAACAGTTAGAAAAGAGTTCAAAACTAAAAGAGATTCTCTGGCACAAAAAATCAAGAACACAAAAGAAAATTACTTTTACGATGAATTCACAAAATGTAGAAATAAACCTAAAAAATGTGGAATCTTATAAAAACACTGTCAAATAATAAAAATGTTAATCACTGTGCTCCACCAAACCTAAAAGCCGAAAATGGTATAATAATTTCGGATGAAAAACGACTCTAATTTAGAAGAATCATTTAATCAGCCATCAACATCTGGTCTACATTTAGACAGCCGCAACAATGAGTCTGCTCAGGTGACACACGACTCGGACGACGAACGTGAGACATCAATTCATTCCTCAACATCTGGTCTTCATTTAGACAGACGCCGTAACCGTTTACTTGACTCTCCTCTCCTCCTGAACCACCATTCAGCCAACTTCCTACAGCTGTTGATACATTTTCTGAAACTGATGATTCGGATGGTGCAGAAGATCAGTGGAAAAAAGTTATCTGGTCTCAACAACCAAACATGGATGATTTTGACCGTGTTCGTTTACAAGGAACTCAATTCCTTTCATCCCAGACAAGGCCTACAACATATTTCACACGTTTCTTCAACGACGATATTTTTACACATATTGTAACACAAACCAATCTCTATGCAGAACAAAATCAAAGTCGTAACTGGACACCTGTTTGTTGTGATGAAATTAAAGCTTTCATAGGCATAATAATTCTAATGGGGCTCCATCCATTACCGACTGTTGATTTATATTGGGCTAGCGATCCATTTTTCCGCGTAGATGAAATCGCATCCATAATGCCAATCAAAAGATTAAAAAAAATCCTCGAAAACCTGCATTTGAATAATAATGAGCAAACGCCTCAAAGAGCTGCAACAAATTTTGATAAATTATTCAAAGTAAGACCAATACTGGATTTGCTGAATATTGCATGTCATCGAGAAGCGAAAACAACATCGTCACAATCAATAGATGAATCGATGATTCGATTCAAGGGACGTTCAACACTAAAACAGTACATGCCCTTCAAACCCATCAAGAGAGGATACAAAGTTTGGGTAAGAGCTGATAGCAAAACTGGTTATGTTTCCGAATTTAGCATTTACACTGGTAAACGTGAAGACCAAGCTCCTGAAGTCGGTCTAGGAGTCAAAGTAGTGAAATCTCTCACACAAAAACTCATTGATCAAGGCTTCCGAGGACATGTAGCTTTTGACAATTTCTTTGCATCTTATGAGCTCTTGCAATATTTGTTTGAAAACGGAATATATGCCACCGCAACCGTCAATTCTGGGAGATCTGATTTGCCACTAATACTAAAAACCGCTAAGAAAAAGAATGTATCAAGACAAAAAAAAATACATTTAGAGAGGTGAATATAAATGGCGTACTAAAAATAATGTTTCCTTTATCATGTGACAGGATACAAAAATAGTTACAGTTTTGACCACCGCATTTTATATATATATATATATATATATATATATATATATATATATATATATATAGAGAGAGAGAGAGAATAGTAAAAAAAAGTGGTTTGCAGGATTTATCCGACGCGATTCCACCAACACCTCTAATGAATTTCTTTTATGCAGTAAACTATCTCTTTATCTGTAACATTGCCCCATATTACGATACCATAACGTAGTAAGGATCCTATATAAGCGTGATACATTAAGACAGCAGGTTTTTGTCTGTTACATTTTTCATTTTATTGAGTGTACAAGAATAGGTTAATTCCACTGCGTAAGTGTAATGTATTTGACCTTTCCAGCTTAAGGCACGCACTGCGATTAAACGCAAGCGGTTTAGGAATTGCTGAAAACGCAAAACCGCATACGATCACGCACTGCGGCTGGAGTTTTGCTTAATTTTATTTCAGTACCACCACGGATTCTGGGCGAGTGGCGTATGTTATGGCTTTGGTTTTTCAATTAAAAAATAGAAAACGTAAACAACGGCGCTGCATAACCTCTCGAATGTCGCCCAATTTTTTGCAAAGGTGTAATAATAAAAAATTATAGCCTTTATTCCAAGTACTATTTGTTTTACTTGTACGTCAAAAGCATATTTAACTATAAATAATGAAAACAAAAAACTTTTTCATACATTTTTTGTTTACGACAAGGTCGAGAAGGTCTTCACTTAGCTCTACTCGAAAACGGGACAAAAAATAGGGGGGTTTACAAAAAAAATACACATTATTAAATCGAATTTAGACTGAGACTGAGAGATGTTATACATACGTATGTTATATATATATATATATATATATATATATCTTACAAATAGTTTGCTATCACTCGACGCCATATTATGGCGTTTGACAGATGAGCATATTATTTGAGACGCCAGAATATGGCATTTGGACAGACGAGACTATGTACTGGATACATCCATTAACAGATAAAAGACATTGGAAAGGATACTTTTGCTACTAATTAGTACCGCAAAAAATGACTGTCATCTGCGCTCGTCTAGTCGAAACCGAATGCGGTTAACCGCAGTGCGTGCGCCGGCATACTACACTCAGCGTCACAAAAATCGCACCTCTCTGAGTTTGCGCGAAAAATGGCTGTAATGGCTAGAAACGAACTATATTTATATAAATATTGGTATGTTTCAAATGGGTATTTGAATAGCTTAACATTATTAATAAAAAAATCATGAAATCATTAAAACATTTATCATTATAGAGCGTCAAAAATAAACACTGTCAAATGCTCGTTAGTAAGGACGCTAGTTACACCACCTAAGAAGGGTATAAAAGGGTCGATCTGAATAAAATATGGGTCAGTCGTAATTTAGACTTTGCAGTGAACACACGTGAACAAGTAACCCAAGTAAGAACAAATAAAAATTGACACCAGCTCTGAAGAAGCCGCTAAAGTGATTGCCCTATTGCAGTCGGGGATGCGGCAGTGTGACATTGCTCGACAGTTGAACCTGTCCCGTTTTTCAGTTCGACGGGTGTTCCAACGTTTTCAGAGGACTGGTGGTTATGTTAGAACTGGAAAAACGGTGCTCACAAAAATACCTTCATCTACACTCTTAGAAAAATTACAATCTGATTGCACAACCTTCCAATTCTACGATAAGAAGAAAGTTAACGAAAAGAGTTTAAGCCCATAATTAAATCCTTATCCTCACCCCAATACAACTAGTCCACAGAAGACGGGGGAGAGGTTCACACAACCCTGCTTCGAAGAATCCGTCGAATACGGGGGTGGCTCGTGTATGTTTTGGGGCGGCATTTCCGTCGACGGGAAAACGGAACTTGTGTGCGTTTCCCGGACTCGGGGTGGCCGTGGGCAAGGGTTATTAAATGCTGGTCGGTACATTACTGAAATCCTGGAGGAACATGTGGTCCCGTATGCTGGTTATGTCGGTGATGGATTCATGTTAATGCATGATAATGCTCGTTGCCTCACCGCGGCTATTGTACGGGATTATTTACAGGAGGTCGATATCGCTGTTATGCATTGGCCAGCACGACCGTGTCCGTGTCCAACCACTCTTCAAGAGCTCCAAGATGCGGTACTTGAAGAGTGGGAACAAATACCCCAATAGGCTGTTACGACCCTTGTAAGGCCCATGAAAGATCGCATGGAAGCCGTTATCAAGGCAAGGGGGGGTAACACTAGGTTTTAAGAACTTTTTTTTAAGTTTTTTTTTAAATTAATTTTTTATTTGCAAATTTGTACATACCCTGTCTTTTTCTCTAATTTTTCTTTCGTCTCGTTATAAAAGTAAAATTCAATTAAAATTCCTGAAAGCTAATGAAATTACCTTTCGAATGATACCCTCAAACCACAACATTGCCATTGGCCTGTTGTGTTAAAATAGTATTTAAATTATTTTTTTCGGATGTGCGATTTTTTTGACGCCGAGTGTATTACAATGGGACACATAAAAATCGAGCGTTTACAAACCGCGATCGAAATGTAGCAAATTACGTTTTTAAAATCAGTCATTGAAAAAAGTCGCTAATGCGAGCGCTTGTATAGAAATCTTACTTACTTACTTGTACTTGTATAGGAATCCATATGTTAATTTTTTTTTGTGGTTTCAGACGTGCGGTTAAACGCGTGCGATTAATCGCAGTGCGTGCTAAGCCTAAATCTTGTTCGATTATTACTCTTAGGAAAATTTGCGTTACTTCTTTTAATTTGTCGACGTTGAGATTAAGATTGTATTTTGTGTTTTACTTATTAAACTGAATATAAGTTGATTTATTTAGATGAATTTTACATATACAGGGTTACTGGTAACTCGACGTATTCCCGCCAAGGCGTGATAGTTGGGGTCTATCCTATCAAATGAACCATAAAATGCATTATGCAGAAACAAGTTAAACAAGAAGAAACTGTTCTATCAGTCATCAGTATTACAGGCATCGTACGCACGCGCGCATATCCCTCCCTGTTACACTTAAAGAAGTTGAGTTTCAAAGTTTTATGGCGGCGGAACCACCAAGACGCGGAGATCATGCAAGGCAATCATTTTCCAACGAGGAATACGCAGATATCTTTTATCTCTATGGATATTGTGACGGTGACGAAGTAACGCTACTAAAAGTACAACTTTTTCCAAACAGAAGATAAGTAATTAAAAATAAAAATGATTTTGTGAAAAATAATTGTATGTGATCAATTGTGCAAATCATGTTAATTGCAAACTAAAAAAAAACATTTGCATAATGCATTTTATGGTTTATTTGATAGGTTATGACCCCAACTATCACGCCTTGGCGGGAATACGTCGAGTTACCAGTAACCCTAGTATATTTGGCTTGAAATTATTTTACAGGAAGAAAAACTTTCAATGAAGTAGAAAACGAATGAAATATGGATGTTCGCCCTTTTTTATAGTTTTGCACGACACTTTAACTCCCGCGCGAGCGCAGGTGCATTGTAAAAGTTGTCCATCCATATGCAGTGGCCTTTGTGCTCAAGACCAGTTAACAGTCTGAGCACAATAGATGGAATAACACCAGAAACTGGACTATCGTCTTGTGGTTTGGGATCTTCGTGTCCTGCGTGGACTTCGAAGCGCCACAAATAGCCAGACTTGGACTCGCATACTTCGTATGTTTTAATCCCCACTGCCGCTGATTCATTTTTATAAATTGATTTATATCTAATCAGCCCTTCCACATCGTCAAGCTCTCATCGATTGCAATATTTCGGTCCATATTATATAATTTGGAGAATTTAAAATTTAAATGTCCTAGAATTGAGGGTCATTGTAGAAGAGTGCTCGTCGCGACCCCTGCCAGCCCTTTTCAGGGCTGCAATTCTACACAGCTACGCACCCATGCAAACGGGAGTTAGGGCGTCCCCCCAAGGCGACGCACACCAGCTCGTCCCCGTTGGTGTGGAATGCAGCGCGCAAAGCGGCGATGGGGACCGCCACCCGTCACGCACAGCCCGACACGGCGCAAGGTGGAGGACGGAGTGCAGAGTTGGCACGTGGAATGTTAGAGGGGGCATGAGGGATAAGACGAATGAGTTGATCGAAATAATGAAAGAAAGAGAATTAGATGTCGTGTGTATGTCGGAGGAGACCAAACGGAAAGGCAGTGGTACTGAAGAGCTCCCTGGCGGGACGTTAGCTATATGGTCCGGAGTCCCGGAAATCGAGAACGCCTGCCAGGGAGTGGGGGTGCTGTTGTCGTCCCGGTTGGTCGATCTTATGACTGAATACAAGGTTGTGAACTCAAGACTTCTCTGGGTTCGCTTTAAACTGGGACTGACGAAGTTATTCCTTTTGGTTGTTTATGCACCGGTAGCTTCGTCGTCCAGAGCTGAGCTTGAGGAGTTTTGGGAGAATGTAAGAGAAGTTCTAGATTTGGTTAAGGGAAACGAAAGAACTGTTGTATGTGGTGATTTGAATGGATGGGTAGGTATCGCTCGACCAGGATACGAGTCGGTGCTTGGAAAGTTTGGCGATAAAAGGGTTAATGATGCTGGCAAACTTATACTAGCTGTATGCAAGGAAAAGGGTCTTCTTGTGACAAACACTATGTTTAATCACAGGAAAATCCATATGTACACTAGAGAAAGAAAGAATGAGAGAAGTATGATTGATTTGTTCCTGGTGGATGACCGACTGCGAAAACAGGTGATGGATACACGAGTGTTCAGGGGTGCTGACCTGGGAACTGATCACTATCTAGTAATTACTAGATTTAGGGGTTTGTTCGCGGGTTGGCGCTACCGGACGGCAGTAACAGAACCACAGTCGGTCTGTCGCATCCGAAGCTGGAAGCTTCAGGAAGCGGATACTAGGGACAAATATCACACGAGGGTAGCCGAAAAGCTTGACACCATCGATGGCAGGAAAGAATGTGTGGAGAGAAGCCGCACCATCA